GGGGGGGGGGGGGGGGGGGGGGGGGGGGATGGACGCGCGGAACGTGTTCGCTCGGACACGAGGTGGACAGGGGACAAAAGATGGCGCGTAAAATATAAAATAAAATAAGTAAAAAGTAAATAATGTAATATATATTATATTATTATTATATATATTTTAATATATATTATAATAATATATTATATTATTAATAATAATAATATAATATAATATAGTAATTGTATAGTAATATATAATATCCGCTGGTTCGCTTACCTTGTGTGCTTTCAGGGAAGCTTCGTTACATGCGAGCGTGACGTCGACGAACGCCTCGGTTTGCAAAAGTTGGTGAAAAACCGACGTCATGTTCGACTGGTAGTTGTTCCAGCGCAGGCAGTAGTGCTGCCCGGCCATGCCGCCGCTACAACAAAAACACCGGGAGATCCGTTCAGTTACGTTTCGTCTTCCCCCCACCACCCCGCCGCGCCGCGCCGCACACAGTGCTCCTCTCTCTCGCTTCCTACATTCGTCGAAAAGTCATCGAAGAAGACGACGACGACGACGACGACGACGACTCTTCTCGTACCACATCCCTTCGCGCGCAAGCATACACACGCATATGGCTGTGCATATAGTATATATATACATAGGCACGTACACACGTTTTTTTAACAGGCTTAAACAAAAAAAAACAAAACACACACGACACGAGACACGAGACACGCCGTTTCCTCGGTTGCCCTTCAGCCTTCAAGATCGATCTGCAAAGCGGGATAGTACCTGTAGTGCACGCCCCAATAACGATCTGTCTCCATTAAATATTCTCTAGTTTTCTTTCTCGCCGCACGGTCAGCCGAGAAGTTATCGGTGACGTTTACACACACACACGAGGGCGAGGCGAGTCCTAGATAAAAGGTGTCGCCTAGGCACCGAAGACTCTACACGTACACACGGAAGGCGGCGGCGGCAGCGGGAAACGATCGGCGACGGGCAAGACGCAACCGGCGCAGCAGAGAATCGAAGATAAACACGTCGAGAAGATAAACACGGTGGGCGAGTAAAAAAGAACGAGGAAAAGGTGAGAGAGATAGGGTGGTTCCACGGAAACGTGGAAACGTACTACTGGCACAATCGGTCTCTCTCTCTCTCTCCTTGCGGTGTCTACCGAAACATAGAGAAGAAACTCCGAACGAACGAGAAAAAGGTTATAAAACATACACACACACACTTTCGCGTTTTAGAGCAAAGCGAGCGCGCGCGGACAATGCTAGCGCGATGATCGATGACCGACGCACGTACACACACACACACAGACACACTGGCTCTCTTTCTCGAGTGTTTACGATAAATCGCGTGCGCGCGCGCGCGCGCGAGCTACGTCGGAACCGGGAGAAGAAACCGAGAAGGAACAGCGAACGAACAAACGAACGAACGATCGGGCCCCGTATTATTCGCGACCGGATGCCGTTAATTTTTGCCGGGCGGTGTGCCGACGCGAAGAGGAGGACGACGAGTCTCGCGCGCCGCGCCGCGCGGGTCGGTTATCGGCGCGAATCGACACCGCAAAAGTAAACGGAAGAAGTTCGGGCGTTGGTCTGTCCCGTAACATTCACCTGTTTTCTGTGGACCGTGTGCTTTATCTGGCTCTATCTATGCGACTCTTTATACGGGCCATTCCGCGTTATCTGTCCGCAAGAACACGGAGTTTTATCAGTTGCTTAGACGCGCGCGCGCGCGCGCCCCGATAACGTGACAAACTTCAAGCTCTCTCTCTCTCTCTCTCTCTCTCTCTCTCCTTCGATCTCTCTCTCTTTCTCTCTCTCTCTCTCTCTCGCACGGCTCGCTTTCGTTCCGCGCTTCTTCTTCGCTTGAACCGCGCGCGGCGGCGGCGGAAGATTCTTTCGCGTTACACGCGACGACGAAAACCGTTCGCCGCGATACCGGACACTGTTTTTGTTTTTCTTTTTCTCTTCCTTTTTCGGCGCCATTTTCACTGTCAACGCCGCCCGGCGCGGCGCGCTATTACCGGCGCGGTATTTACGCGACGACGGGGCTGACCCTTACGTGTTACATAAATGTAATAACGACGAACGAGAGCCGATATCCGTGTCGCCTCGCATGCCAGATCGATTAACGATCGATTAACGATCGTTCGTCCCGCGTTTACGCGTCCAGGGACAATAATATATATATAATAATATATATAATAATATATATAATATAAGGGACCGTCGGATTTATCAGGAATTGCCGCGGCCAACCGCTTCGAATCTATCGCGCGCAGGTAGCACACGGCAACGCGAGTGAGCGCACCTGGTGCACTTACCTGTCGGTTTTTACCTGCTATTCGTTAGCCGCGTTTCACAAGTACGAGTGCGTGCGAACGAGTGCGCGCGCGCGCGAGAATCCATTCCCGTCGCGTCGCGAGTCCGGAACACGACGCCGCCTATATCCGATACACGATATATATACAGGGTGTCCGGATATGTTCCTGGGGTAATTCGGAGCAACTTTTTCCTTTACAACAATTTTCTCCGAGGCACCGTTAACGAGTTATCAACGAAAAACAGTGACCAATGAGAGGCAAGCTCGGCCAGCGCGCGGCGACCGAGCCAATGAGCGGAACCGGGCTTCGCGCGCTGCTTGGGGCCGCCTCGCGTCAGCCGTGCTCGATTCTTATTGGTCGCTGCTTTTTCGTTGATATCTCGTTAACGGCGCCTCGTAGAAAATTTTTCTAAAGGAAAAAGTTGCTTCAAATGATCCGAGGAATCCGCCGCTTTCGGATTGCGAGACTTTTTCGGGACACNTGAGCGGAACTGGGCTTCGCGCGCTGGTTGGCTGGGCCGCCTCGCGTCAGCCGTGCTCGATTCTTATTGGTCGCTGCTTTTTCGTTGATATCTCGTTAACGGCGCCTCGTAGAAAATTTTTCTAAAGGAAAAAGTTGCTTCAAATGATCCGAGGAATCCGCCGCTTTCGGATTGCGAGACTTTTTCGGGACACCCTGTATACGCGTCGCCGGTACGTGTACCGATATCGAGGAATTGGGTTAACCAGGTAGGAACGTTTCGAGCGACGAACTGATAATAAGCGATAACGAGCGAAGATTGGCGACGGCCCGATAATAATCGATCTACCGGCGACGACGAACTGTTTCTCCCCGCTACGCAGAAACGGACAAAGGAACGACGAGATCGCGATTTCGACTCGGACGACGGAGATCGCGGATTCTATTCGCCGACGCGCCGTCGGCCCGAGCTTTCTCCGTCTGCGCGACGGCGCAGCGGTGCTCAGGCGCGCTCGATCGCGACTTTAACCCTTTGCGCTCGAAGCCGTTTTAGCTGTGAATCTAAATTAATTTTTCTGACTTATGCTATTTCCATATTATACGACAAAGTGCGTTTTATGCGAATGAAATTTAATCTTATGACTCGTGCAACAATTAGACTTTCAACAATTTTTTACATCTAAACTTTTATAATATAAAAATTATTTTGTAACGTGATGTAACAATTTTAATGGCGCCTCAGAGTCACCACTGGCGAGTGCAAGGGGTTAGAGATCGGAAGGAGCTAACGACCGGGCGAACGAGACTCGTCGGGCGATGAGGTTAGGGTCGAACGAAACGCGGAACGCGCGGAAACGAGACGCGACGCCCTTCGACGATCTCCGACGATCTCCGAGCGGCCACCGAATCGCTCGCGCGTCTCGATCGAATTCTCTCTCGCCTCTGGCAACCTCTCTGTATTGCCAATCCGATCGAATCGATCGATACGCTTTCTCGACGGTCGATCTTTCGCGGGTACACTTAACTTCTCCTCGGTTCTACGCGGTTTCTCCCGAGTTATATAGAGGCATCCTTTAACGATTTTGCTCGGTACTTTCACTGATATCGGCCGGAGAGCCGGCGGTAGACGCCGGTGTACGCCGCGTCGACGAGCGGCACGCGCACAGAGGCTCGCGGGAATCGACGTCGATGACGCTACGCTGCTCGCCGTCGGCACGCCGTCGGCTCGCGGCGGTTCGACCGCGCCGTCGGCTCGCGGCGGCTCGACCGCGCGGCGCACCGATTCGAAATGCCCGCGCGCTACGGCACGCGAAAAATGCAAAACGGCGGCAGACGACCGCCGCGGAACGGGGCTACCCATAAGGCTCTACTTTACGCTTTACGGGATGACGCTTGGCGCGTGACGCGCTAAACGGCCGCGTCTCGTCTCTCTCCTTCGCAACGATGGCCGCGCGTTCGTTCGTTCGTTCATTCGCGCGCGCGCGCGCGCGTCGTTGCAAAAATACGAAAAACCGGGAAGGCGAATTACCGCCGCGGAGGCAGCCGAGTTTGTAATCTTCACTTACACGTACGAGAGCCGGCCGGTCTCTTCGAAAGTTGATTATTGCGAAAAGGAAAGTAATCGCGTGTAATGGACGAGCGTGTCGGTTAACGATCGCGGTTAGTTCGCTAAGCAAAACGAAACGGAACGAAACGAAACGAAACGAAAAATTAGCAGAGTATGTATAATATATTAGTAAGGTTGTATAAAAGGTATAAAAATACTTTATATATATAAAATACCGAAACGAAACGAAACGAAAAATTAGCGAGATATGTATAATATAAAAAATAATATAATATAAATATATAATAATAATATAAAAATAAATAAATAAATAATAATATAAAAAAATACCGAAACGAAACGAAAAATTAGCAAAGTATGTATAATATATTAGTAAGGTATATATAAGATATATATATATGTATATATATGTATATTGACGTATCGGCGCGCAGTAGAAATACACGCTCACCCCTCGAAAGCGCGTTCGCGCTTTCTTTCGCGGCCTCGAAGAAGGACACTGCGTTGGTCTCTCCCTTTCAGAGAATCATCCTCCCTTCCCCCATCTTCCCTTCCACGATTCATCTCAATTTTTCTTCGAGCTTTTTGTGTCCAATTTCACCTCGCCTCCCCGGATCCCATCCTCTTTCTTTTTCCCCGTCTGTCTCTCTGTGCCATTCGTGGAGTAGACGACGACGACGACGACGACGACGACGAAGCGAGCGGCTCCGCGCTGGCTCCCCTCTTCTTCTACCCCCGTATCGTTCCCGTTCCATCTCCTTCCTTTCTTCTCCCTCGGCCTCCTTCTCCCTCGGTCGTTTCATCGTTTCTTTCTCGACCCTCCGCGTCTCTCGTTCCCTCTTTCTCCGCGCGTTGGCTCCATTTACTCGTTCCCTCATTCCCTCCCCACGGCGAAGACGCTATTTTCTCGTGGCCCCTTTTCTTCCACGGTCTCCGCCACCCTTCTCTCTTTTTCTCCTCTCCTCTCGCTCTCTCTCCGCCGGTGCCTCCTCTTTCCACGCTTTTTCTCCGACGCCCTCTCTCTCGCGCTCTCTTTTTCGCCCTCTCTCTTTCTCGCGCTCTCTTTCGCCCTCTCTCTTTCTCGCACTCTCTTTTTCGCCCTCTCTCTTTCTCTCGCGCTCTCCTTTCCGCGCTCTCTCTTTTTCTCTATCGCCCTCTCTCTTTCTCTTTATCTCGACCTCTCTCCGCCGCTCTCCGTCGCTCCCTCTCTCTCGCCCACCCTCTCTTTCTCTCTCGCTCTCCCTCTCTTTCTCTCTCTCTCTCTCCGTTCGCCTTTCTACATTTCCCTCTCTCTCTCTCTCGCGCGCTGCTCTCCTCTCCGGGCACGCCGTTCTCTCGCTCGATGGGAAGCCGCTCACCCTCCTCTCTCTTTCTCCTCTCTTCCTCTCCCCGTGCTACGCGCGCGGCGTTTCCTTCTCTTCCTGGACGGCCGCGCATTTTACGTTTTTCCAACGCTATCGACGTTCTTCCTCGGCTCTTCCCGGACTTTTTCCTTTCGTCGTGCCGTCCTCGAGACGACCGACCAACCCAACCAGCTCTTTCTCCGGGAAAACGTAAGCGGAAAC